TTTTTTAGACAAAGTCTTGCTCTGTTGCCCAGGCTGGAGCGCAGTGATGCAATCTCTGCTCGCTGCAGCCTCTGCCTCCTGAGTAGCTGGGATTACAGGCTTGCACCACCACATCCTGCTAATATTTTTTGTATTTTTAGTAGGCACAGGGTTTCACCATGTTAGCCAGGATGGTCTTGATCTCCTGACCTCATGATCTGCCCGCCTCAGCCTCCCAAAGTGCTGGGATAACAGGCCTGAGCCACTGGCCCGGCTCTGGTGATCTTATGTGTGAAAATGTTATTTCATTTATAACTGACATCAAGTATACCACATCTAAACTGGAGTTCTTCATTCATCTACAAAAATTTCATCTAGTAATTAATTGCTAAAAAATTCACAAATACTGGATTTGTTCCATCTAATTGGGCCAGCATCTTGCATATGTCCTAGCCTTCACGTGATATTACTTCTACTGCCTAACATCTAAAATATGATTTTATTTTTATTGAGTGAAATTTTAAGTTCTCATTAAATTCAACCTTGCTAATTATTTATAACAGCTTCATTTTATCCTTGCTCTTATTTCGGCTCCGTCTACCTATATTCATACACCATTCATTTTTCATACTGAGATTTTTAAATTTATATAATTTAATCTGCTTGCCCATATTGGTATAGAATTGAATTTATACCTTCAATTATATTTTTCAGTAGGAAATATGTTTTCATTCATCAGTGCATGAACAAACATGTTTTTCCTTTTGATCTGAATCTTGATTTTATAATATTTTCCACATGGATGAGATTCATGCTAATCTGGCTGACAATTGCTAAATGCATATATGTAAACAACTAGTTTTTATATAAATAAATAAATGTTTACATAAAACTGCTTTTGAACTAAGCTAATCATAAATGAACATACATCTATTACTTTACTGTGTGCTGAGGACTTAATTGTGCCCACTACAATTCGTATATTGAAACTGTAATCGCCAATGTGACCTCATTTGTAGGTAGGGCTTTTAGGAGACGATTAAGGTTAAATGCGGTCGTAAATTTGGGGTTCTAATCCAATAGGATTTTAGTTTTATAAGAAGAGAAAGATACAGAGATCTCTTTGTGTCTTTATGCATACATACCAAGGCAAGGGTGTGTAGGGACACAGTGAGAATGTGACTGTCCAGAAGCCAAGAAGAAGTGTCTCTCCAGTGCCCACAATAGCTTTGGACTTTTAAGTTCCAGAACTGTGAGAAATAAATTTCTGTTGTTTAAGCCATCCAGTCCATGATATTTTGTTATGGCAGCTGGAGTAGACTAAGACACTATGTCTATTTTAGAAAAAATAGCAAGCCAATATTTTTCAAATTTTTAAATTATATATTTCATATGCATCTATAAATCCATATATTAAATATTACTTTTTCATTCTGAGGGACTGTAATCTCTTCCAGTGTCCACAAGGGGGCGTAGTTTCAAGGGCAAGAACTTCCCAATGCCCCCTTCCCTCTCTCCATCTGGGATACTTAACAGTCTTTGTTTTAATTTTCACAGGCATGGGAAAATAATCAAAGACAATCACTCCAGAGGAAGTTTAAAGGAACTCTTCTCATTGGCCAGGGGTCTTGGAGAAAGTGGGAATTCCACTCAGGTTAAAAGTCCCTGTCTCCCTCTTCTAGGCGGATTTCTCCTTCTGGGGTCCCCTTCCATTCTCATGGAAGCTGCTTCTCCTCCCCTGGAAGCTGCTTCTCCTCCCCTGGGTTCCATCTTTCTGGATTCTCTCACTCAGTGTGAAAGTGGCTTTTCTTCCCTGGTTTTCCCCTTCGGGGAACCCTTCTCAACTCAGTGTGAGAGCTGCTTTTCCTTCTTCTCAGTGTGAGAGCTAGTTGTTTCTCTCTCTTCCCTTCTCCTTTTTTTTCTCTCTCCCTTTCTTTCTCTCTACCTAAATAGATCACTTTCTGCAAAAACTATTTGAGGCCTGATATTTTCTTGCAAGCAGACCATGCTGTGGTCCCCTCTCCCATTCTTGGGTAACTGAGGGACCAAGAGCCCAGAAGAACATTCTCTCGGGGAAGCTGAGCACACCTCTGCACCCCCAAACCCAGAAACAATTCCTAATTTGTTTTTGAGATAAGTCTGTGTTGATATATAGATAATATGTGCTACTTTGGATTATTCTCTGATATCTCATTATTTTATTGATAGATTTAGGCTCTTTGATTTTTCATTGTTTCAAACAATGATGAAATGAGTATTCTTTAGATGTCATTTTGAACTTGCATAAGATTTTCATGTGATGGTGACCAGATATTCAGGTCTGAGTGGGGGCAGTCTGTTTATGCCTACTGTAAATCAGATGTTATTTTTAGCAACCTTTGACATTCCACTACATATGATTAATTACTCACTGAGACTCCTTTTGGATGTATTCCTTAGAGATGGACTTACTGGGTTTGAAGTTAAAAATATAGTCCGGTTTATTAAAGACTTCACTTTGTCTTCAAAATTACTACATGGGTTCAAGCTCCCAACAAAATTTTGTTTCTAAATTACCTTGACAATGAATTTTGTATCTAACTTTCTCATCTTTAGCAATAGGAAAATATAGAGTGGGATTTTAATTTTAAATATACTATCTTCTCATTATTAATAAGCACATGAAGGGATGCTTAAACATTTTGGGTATTTAGATTTTTTGACTATGAGCTTTCTTTTCAGATTCATTGACAATGTACTGAATCATGTTGCTTTATACATGCTGATTTTAAGAGATATTAGGATATTTTAGATAATAGTCACTGGTAAAACTATAAAAGCAAATATAAGTTCCTGATTGATCACTTGTCTCTTGTTTCTGGTGTTTTATTTTTTTCTAATTATAATGTATCTAAGTCTATAAAGATTCCTATTTTGGGCATTTTTCTCAATATCATTCCAAAAAGAAAAATATAGTTAAGCAGCATAAGGATTATGAGAAAAAGCAAACATTGTCTTTTTCTACCTGGGATATTCATACAGACATTCATAGAAAACAGAAGAATCAACAGAAAAGCAAGGGATAAAATGTGAGTACAAAGCAGCTATAAAGATTTAAATACAAATCTATTGCAATTCAGAAAATGTCATTAGAAAATGCAATAAAATACCATTTGCATGAACATTTTCAGGAATTACCTTAGAAATGCTAGTTTTTTAGAAAGTAAATTTTAAAAGCCAATTATGTCAAATAAAAGAGTAAATAAATGGCACACAAACTAAATATTGTTAATATAACCATCCTTCCCAAATTAAACAAAATATTTAATGTTATTCCAATAGAAAACTAAAAGATTTTGGCAATTGAACAATTTTGTAAAATTTATATGACAGTACAAAACCCTTTAGATTTATAAACCAATTCTGAAAAAGAACAGAAGGAGATATTCTACTATATAGATGACAATATTACAAAACCAAAGTCATGCACTCCTAAAGGTATAGATAAATGGACCAATATTAGAGAATAGAAAGAGTCTAGATTGCAAAGCACAGTTGTTTAGATCCTAGACTGTGAATCTAAATCACCAGGTTGGAAAAACTTGCTCACTATGTAGAAAAAATAAAATGAGATCAGTACCTCAGTTTAAACTTCTTAGAAAATCTTCTAGATATAATTCAGGAACATAAAAAAGAAAAGCTATGAAACACTTGTGGAAAAAAATAGGACAGCATTTTATAGAAATCTTCTCCATCCTAAAATCATAAACAAGGTGCAAATTGCAAAACATAGTAATTGGTTGATAATGAAAATGTTATTTATCTATTCACTGGGCAGGTTGCTTTAGAGTTATCTCATATTCTACTAAGTTAAGTTAAAATTTCTATCCTATTTGTCTTGCATGAACTAATGTCGAAACAAGGCATTTCAGCCCCTGTGCCTCTCCTAGCCCTGACACAGAACGTCTCGGCTCCCAGCTTTCCTCAGATGCCCCGAGCATCTCAGCGCTCACCTTACCTCACTGACTCCAGCAGTCTTCCTGTCCTGTTAGGTCAGGGCTTCTCAACTCTGATTTTGTTTTTCAGGGGACATTTGAAAACGCTAGAGACATTTTTGGTTGTAACAACCAAAGAGGAGATTCTAGAGTTATTCAGTGGGCAGAGGCTGACCAGGGATGTAGCTACTCACTCATCAGTGCACAAGCAGCTCTCCATCGTAACAAAGATATTTCTAGCCTAAAATACCAATCATAACTCTGTACTGGACTAGATGTTCCTTGTTAACGCAGATTGCGGCCTCCAAAATTTAACCCCCAGCAGTGAGCACAGCAGCTAAGGCAGAATTGAAACTCAAATATATTTTATTAAATGAATTATTAATTTCATTGATTTGTTACTGCCAATGGGATGTAATAATTTTTCCCTGATGCTTTTACTTCTTTCACAGGACCTGCTATTTTAGTCACCTATAAAATCTTCAACCCCAGATGGATTGCATTGAAGTTCATTTCTACTTCTCAATTACCAGTTTCTTTTAAGACTATTGTTCTATTAAGACTATCTATTAATATTTCCATTCTAATACATGATAAGGGAACCACTCTGATATCAAGGTAATTTAAGAATGCAACTTGGAGACAGTAATCCTACAATTGAATAAAAATATCAATATATTATGCAGCCTTAAAATCATCCTACAAAATAGCTGAAATTAAGACATAGCCCTAAAGGAAAACAGTTTAGGTATATTGGTTTGTCTATAAACTGGCCTATAAAGACTCCACAAAACTGTCTTTATTAGAATTTCTGTTTTAGAATCCTCAGCTATATTAAATATAAGAAATACAGAAATAGATATAAAAAGTCTCTTTTACACTTTAATAGCATGAAGGAAGGTAAGAATAGATTTGAAATACAAAATGAGAAGTTGAAGTTCATTTTTTACATGCAGAATTTTCAGTCATTTTTACAAACAAAAAGGTTTTCCTACAAGTGTTGCTCTTGCTGTAATCTAAGAGGTTTAAAAGCAATTTTTGGCAAACAGGTTGTAATCAATCTGATTAGCCAGAAGGGCTCAGAGAAGCCACTTGAACAGACATTTGCAACAATGGTGTCTTCTTTGGGAAGTGGAATGATGAAATACATTGCCTTTGACTTCCATAAGGAATGTAAAAATATGAGATGGGATGGACTAAGTATTTTATTGGATCAGGTAGCAGAAATGCAAGATTAAGTTATTTTCTACTGGACTCTGCTGGCCACATGGTGACAAACCAGGAAAGCATGTTCCAAAGCAATTGCATGATTGTCTAGACAGAACCAATGTGATCCAGAGTTTGCTAGCTTGTCATTCACTTCAGGCCCAACTTCAGAGACTAGGAGTTTTGCATGTGGGACAAAAGCTGGAAGAATAAGATGAATTTGAGAAGATTTACAAAAGTGCCTGGGCTGACAATGTAAATGTCTGTGCCAAGCAATATGCGGGAACTGGTGGTGCCTTGAAGACTGACTTTACCAGAACTGGGAAGAGCACTCATTTGGGACTTATAATGGGTGGCTGGAACTCAATGATATGGTATTATAAGAACAACTTCTCCGATGCATTAAAACAAGATTCCATAGACTTATTTCTTGGAAACTATTCAGTGGATGAATTAGAATCTCATAGTCCTTTAAGTGTTCCAAGGGATTGGGAATCCCTGGCTTTGCCTATTATCATGGTTGTTGCCTTTTCAATGTGCATTATTTGTTTGTTTATGGCTGGTGACACTTGGACAATAATGCTGGCCTATGTGCTCTTCTGGGGAGTTGCAAGCATTGGAACATTTTTTATCATTCTTTACAATGGCAAAGATTTTGTTGGCGCTCTCAGACTGGTCCACAAAGGAAAGATAAACTGATTTTGTGTTTGTGGAAAGCAGCTTGGCTTGGAAGATTCCATTATGCAGAACTGGAGTCTTTACTGACCTGCTTTCCACATCAGCCCAAGGTCTTTTTAATGCCTTTATCCAAAAGCAAATCTTGTACTCTGTGCAGGATGATGACAGAATTGATCGATATTACTGCCTTGATGGTCTCTTTACTCTTGGGACAGTTATTAATTTGAAGCTGTACTGTAATTAAAATAATAATCTGAGTTCACCTTGCAGAATGGAAGCTGAATCTGTTCATTTGATTCTATTGATTATCAATTTAATCAGCTGTTGCAGAATAAGTAATATATTTTAAAAACCTAGCTTCTTTCATTGTTTAAAATAGTAAAATTACTTTTGTAGCTCAGTTTCATTATTGTCCCTGTAGAAGCAGTCGCTGTTAGCAGGCAAACTTTTTCACACATCTTTGGACTTTTCTTAAAAGTTCAATAATAAGCTAACTGTGTTTGTAAAATGTAAGTCTCTTACAGACATCAAGTAGTTTGATGAGACAGTCTGTGACTTCATCATAGGAAAGAGGAGAATGAGGTCTGGGGTTCTTTAAAGTTTCTGGTGGGTCGCGTCATGACTTGAATCAGCTTGAACTGCCAGTGCACCAGCAGTTTAAGTGTGAAGAGAGAATTCAGATATACTTTATCTTTTTTAAAAAGTGTAAGTAAAATCAAAGAATGTAAAATCTTTCTCTTATGCTACAGGTTCAAAGCTGCCTCTGTTTTAAAGATTGTCCCAGTGTGAAAGATGCCCATGACTGGTCAGCTACTTTCTCCTATACATTTGGGTTTCGTTGAGGGTCACTCATTGAGACATGCAGGCCTCTGAGAGGGTCTCGTTCTAGATTTCATATTGCACTTGGGGGGCAACAGCTGCTTTTCCACACATGGTACTCTTGATGCCTCACTCTGTCAAGGATTTTGTTGGCTATCAATAAATGTGCCTAAAACTCAGTGCTTCCAGGTATTTACAGTTCTGCAAATCAAGGACATTAATTTATGTGCAAAAACAAACCTGAAAAATAAGCTTCAGAAACTGTGCATAGTTCTAATTGTAAGTCAGATTGTATATTCAAATTGTAATTATGAGATTTAAATAATTACCACTATTTTAAAACAATTCAATTAAACACTGCTATAGTATTTCAAAAAAACGTAATTTATAATGGTTTAAAAGCAATTTATGTGGATCGGTTTCACAAAGATTGGTTTTACTGGGATAATGATAAAAACTCCAAGGCTGCTGGTTAACCATCAACTCTTGTTGTTTTCAAATGCGCAGATGCACAGCTTCTTTTCAGCAGTAGTTCATTTAGAGACCAACAAGCATTTACGCCCTCCTGACCCTCTGAGCACTTTACCACTATGGGAACCAGTCTCCTGCTCATGGACCAAAGGTGACGGATCACCAGAGTCAGTTTTATTTCTGGAAGTGGGATGAGAAACACAACTGTGCATCTAGTCCTCTTTAAATACCAATGTCCCATAGAGGTAATTTTTTTTCACTCATTTTTTAGGGGGCATACTTTGATAATTATGGTGGAGTTCTCTAGGAAGCTTGTCCAGGCCTTTATACTGGGACAATCAGGAGGGTCAGGTGGTAGACTGGAAGGCCATTCTAGCAAAGTTGGTTTATGCAAACTACTCAGAAGACAGCGGTAAGTAAATCAGAGGCACTGCACAAAGTAGATGTATAGCAAGGGTGGGAGACAAGTGAAGGCAGCTATGTAAAGACAGAAGAAAGACTTACAAATACACTGGGGGTAGGTTGGGGAGCCAGGGGTCTTCAGAGAGAATGTCCTCAAGGACACTGCCTGGAGCCACTGCAGAAAATCAGTTCATTCAGTTGTACTGGTGGTTGAGCGTAAACATTAAATTTCCACCTGTCACCAAGGATGAGGAGTCAGATTCTATGCTGAATTTTATGCAAGAAAATGTTTATGGACTATTATGTTATGTGAAATTGCATACCTGATTTAGTTAAAAAGTTTAGTTACATTATTAATTAGAATAATGATTGACATATCCTACTGTGATTTTTTTTTTTTGAGACAGTCTCACTCTGTCACCCAGTTTGGAGTACAGGGACGTGATCTTGGCTCACTGAGACCTCCGCCTCCCAGGTTCAAGTGGTTCTCCTGCCTCAGCCTCCCAAAGTGCTGGGATTATAGGCCTAAGCCACTGCACCTGGCCTTCACTGTTATTTATTATTATTATTATTATTTTTAGACAGAGTCCAGCTCTATTGGCCAGGCTGGAGTACAGTGGTGCAGTCTCGGCTCACTGCAATCTCTGACTCAATCGCTCAAGCAATTTTCCTTCCCTGAGTAGCTAGGACTATAGGCGTGCACCACCACACCCAGCTAATTTTTTGTATTTTTAGTAGAGATGAGGTTTCACCATGTTGGCCAGGATGGTCTTGATCTCCTGACCTTGTGATCTGCCTGCCTTGGCCTCCCAAAGTGCTGGAATTACAGGCATAAGCCACTGCACCTGACCCCTTCCGTGATTTTTAAATGGAAGCCATGAGTCTTTTCTGACTACTTTGTGGGGCGAGAAGATGTGTAGAGAGGTTTTATCTTTCTGGACCTCTCGTAGGCTGCTTTCTCTACTCCTAGTCCTGGATTTTACATGATCACTTCCTGGCACTGGATCTTAAGAGCCCAGCAGGTCCCAAGGCAGCACCTGACGCAGTTGGGTCAAGTCAAGGCAGCTTAAAGAAATCTCCCTGCTCTAAGGAAGTAGATGGCTTGTGCTGATTTACAATAAGTTCTCCAGGCTTGTCTCAACCATGAGGGGAATACCCTGTGTCCAGCATCTGAGGCCAGTGCACACCCAGCCACCCCCAGGGCACAGACACTCACGCTCCTGCACACTCAAACCTGGACTCTGAGAAAGCAGGTGTCCACTGCAGGGTCAGAAATTAGCCCTTTCTGCAAAATCTGCTAATAGGCCACTATTCGCTTGAAGGACTGCAAACTTAATGGAGTATCAAAGACCTTTTAGGCGGCAATCTCTCTGTAAAGTAACTCCTTTGCTTACCCTGCTTAGATGCTGATTCATGAAGATGTGACAGAGTGGATGTGGGAATGAGGTTGGCCTCATCCATGCTCCTGTTATGTATGACAGCAGTGTCTTTAATTAGGCAGTCCATGTGTGATGCTCCCGGGAAAGAACCCGACAGATGCAGTCCTTGGCAGAAGTCATTGCCCTCTGGCCTTGCCTCTGTCCTTCCTCCCACCTGCTATGCATCCCACGTCTAGGACCACTTAAACACCCAATATGCATTGGACTGATTCCAGCGATTGTCCATGCATCATGCTTAGCAAGTGTGAGCCCGCCTGTCACAGGCCTGCAGCCAACTGATTTCATTTGCATAGGGGGAGTCACATTTGAGAAAATAATGTCTATGTCTGTTACTTCTCCCCTATGACCTCCTCAGTGCAGGTGAGAGGCAGGAACTGCCACATGCCGCAGGCTCTGGGGTGGGTCCAGCTTCAGTTAGCATCCACCCAGGGGCGCTGGGAGATCTAAGAGGGGACCCAAGACAACAGAATCAGACTTCTCCAGCTTGAACAGAATTGCAAGAACAGAAACAAAGGCGTTTAGGAAGACAGTTAGATCTAAGGAGGCTTGGCAGGGGGCTATGTCTGCTATCCCTTAGCCCCCAGGGAAGATGTTCTGGAGGCTTCTTTAAGATCCAGAACCAGGAAGTGGTCATTTAAAATCTAGGTCTAAGAGTACAGAACCCAGCCTGCAAGAGGTCAAGGAAGGTAAGCCTCTGACACGAGTCCCCTTGCAGCTGCAGACAGGACAAGGTAGCTTCATAAAATCTCTGAGGTCTCAGAGGGCGAAGTCCTTAGAAGAGAGAGGCAGAGTGTCCTACCTGGACCTCACAGTAGGGAGTACAGTGGTGGCCTCAGAGGGCAGGAAAGCTAGTATGGGAGGAAAGTGGCAGCTTGTGGATGAATTGTGCCTCCAGAATGACCAGCAGGTGCCAAGGCCACACCTGAGGCAATTTGGTCATGTCAAGGTAGCACCATAGGGTGGGTCACTGAACGAGAGACCAGGTGCAGCTGAAGCAGAGGGTGACAAAAAGCGGACATCCCCGTTTTTCCCTCTGCAAAGTGGCAGCCTCTGGAGGTCTCAGCTTCTGGGCAACAGATGACACAGGGGGGCAGTGACCATGGGGCTCCTCCCCATTTCTCAGTAATTTTCAGCTCCACTGATCACAGGAATCACCTGAGGACCTTAAAATCAGAGACTGATTCAGCATTGGATAAAACTTATAAAAATGAAATTTCTATAAATTGCAGTGAAAAGCGAAGCTTATCTTCACGAAACAGTAAGGACTGTGTACCTAGGATTAGGAATAAAAAAAATAGCAGATGTGCTAAAAATAATAGTGTGTGCCACAGTAAAAGAATGATGGGTGTAGAATAAGTCAAGCAGCATGGGGGCCAACCTCTTCTTTTTGAGCCAACACTTCTTATTGACAGGGCAGATGGCAATCAACAGCCTTGTTCCATTGTACTCCACTTCCTGAAGCAAATTCTCCCACGTGATCACCTCCAGATGGTGGCTCTAGTGTGGTGTAAAGTAGTGAGGAAGCCCACTCTGTCTTCGTAGTGCTTACCTATGTGGATAAGCAGCATCAGTTTACTGATGGGAAAATCCACAGGAATAGTTTGAGGCTCGACCCTGATCATGGAAGGAATGAGCTCACTGTAGTCATGAAACTCTGAGCATAAAGGTGTCATTTCCACAGTGAGCTAGCCAGTTTCTTAATTCCCTGAGCTATGTGCATATTTCTTCACTGAAATATCTTGTGAGTGTTTGTCAAGAGCTAAGATTTGCTAAAATCGTGTCTTTGCTTTTCTCTTAGCTCCGTATTGGAACGTATGTTTATCACCTTAGCATATGGGTAGTTCAACATGAACTGTTTCACTTTTTCTGTTTCTGCATTAGTTCCTTTAGAATTATGGCCTCTAGCTCTACTTATGCTGTTGCAAAGGACACAATTTCATTCTTTTTTATGGCTACATTGTATTTTGTGGTGTATAATTACCACATTTTCTTTATTCAGTCCAAAGTTGATGGGCACCTAGGTTGATTCCGTGTCTTTCCTATTGTGAATAGTGCCACAATGAACAGATGAATGCATGAGTGCAAAGAAAATCAATTTTCCTTTGATTGTATACCCAGTAATGGGATGGCTGGGTCAAATCACAGCTCTATTTTAAGTTCTTTGAGAAATTCCCAAGGTTCAAAAACTTTGGAGAAATCTCCAAAGTTCTTTGAGAAATCTTCAAACTCCAATGTGGAAACACATTGGCTGAACTAATTTATATTCCCACCAACAGTGTATAAGTGCTCCTTTTTCTCTTCCGCTTTGCAAGCATCTTTGGTTTTTGAGTTTTTAATAATAGCCATTGTGACTGGTGTGAGATGGTATTTCATTATGGTTTTGATTTGCATTTCTTGATTAGTAATTAACAGATTTTTATATTTCGGGGCCACTTGTATGTCTTCTTTTATAAAGTGTTTATTCATGTCCTTTTCCCATTTTTAGATGGGATTATTTGTTTTACTCTTGTTGATTTAAATTACAGATTCCGAGTAGCTTTATCAGATGCCTAGTTAGCAAATATTTTCTACCATTCTGCAAGTTGTCTGTTTATTTATAGTACTTTTCCTCTGCAGAAGATTTTTAGTTTAATTAGGCCCCACTGGCCAATTTTTGTTTTTGTTGCAATTGATTTTGGGGATTCAGCTAATAATTATTTGCCAAGGCCAGTATTGAAAATAGTTTTTCTCTATGAGTTTTATAGTTTGAGGCCCTACATCATATCTTTAATCCATCTTGAACTATTTGTTTACATGGTGAAAGGTAAGGGTCCAATTTTATTCTTCTTCTGCATATGGCTCGCCAGTTATCCCAGCACCAGCTATTAAACAGAGAGTGATCTTCAAAGAAAGCTAGGGCTCAGATGGCAAAAGAGATCAGCATGAGCTGTCCATGAGCTGCCAAGAAAAAAAAGAAGAGAAATCACATTTATCATGCATCAAGTGCTCTTTTTCTCTTT